CACCAGTAAGATGGCTTAAGATAGATTAGTGAACAGTGAATTAAAAAGTTTTCAGTAGTTATTATTGATCCTGCAAGTTTCAGTAAGTAGTTCTTTTATAAAATTACTTTCGAAAAGATTTTTCCCACACTTTTTATGTTGGCATAAATCTGAGTGGCCGACTTTCACTCTGGAATTACGTTCAAAGTATGTACCTTCAAAGTAATAAAAAACAGAGGCTTTCTTTCTTCACGAGATTCAGACCGTTATCAAGATATGATAATCAATCTCTCAAATATCCGTTTATTGGTAGTATGTAGTTCGTGTTATCATTTAAAACATTAATCGATAATCATATGTAAAAATCTGCTTTCTGGGTTTATTTCCTATATAACTAATAAAAATCAGCTACTCAAAGCTTAATAGTACATTCAAAGAAGAGCTCTTGGCGCGATAGCAACTGAGAGAGATTGAAAGGAAAGAAACAAAGCAGAAACTAACCAAACCAAAGAAACATCTACGGTAACTTTTTTTCTTATATTCATTTTGAAGTTGTCATAACTTCTTTTCGTATTCATACTCTTGCAATATTTCTTGAAAAAAAAAAAAAAAAAACAGCCTTCTCTGCATAGTTCTTACAAGTTAATACTCTGGAAGTGTGTAATTGATCCCCATTCTAAGCGTCTTCGGCTTTTCATGTTAGTTTCACTTCGGGTTACTTCCTGATGAAATGGTAGGGGGTTGTCAAGCAAAGACCAAGCCAGACATATCCATCAAATAAAACGGGACCACGATTATAATGAAATAAAAGCTTCTCCTAATAACCCTCTTCATGTTTCGATTACGAAAAGCAAACAAACTGTAACTGAATAAGTAGAGCAATAATACCGAAGGATATGTGTCACGGAATCTTTTTTTAGATTTGAGGAACTTGTAAGGGTAGTCGTACTGACTAGATACGTTTTTCCCATACCGACCACATCACATCACTTTTCGCCGGTATAAGATATCTACTTTCACGGCAAAGTATTTGTACAGTGGCATGATAACTCAAATTTTAAAAGCAGCCAATAATTACAAATTTAAGAAATATTTTATACCAGAATAAAAGTTCTTTGTAGGATACAAAAATATGACAGTCTGCAAATACCAGCCTGATGAATGACGAGACAGTTTCAAAGTTTCTTTTTTTTTCAATGCCTTATTAATCCTTTTTTTTAACTTACGTCCTTTGGCTGACTTATGGACCGTACAAGGGTGAAAATTATTTGTTACTCATTTGATTCAGGGCACTTCTAGAGGTTAAAATGAGTCTCAGCCTCGCCCTCGCTATGAGGTTACGATCCTTTCAGGTCCCCTCTTTTTATAGGGGGGCAACCCTGGCCCCGGATGTTACTCTGAGTTCGTAATTTTGACAAATATTGTTGACGATCACCACATCAGCGTTTTATCTTCGTTCTCAGTTTCAGCCATTTATTCATACTGTTACAAAACTAATACGCTATTGATCTGTAGCTTTTTAATTTCATGCAGAAATTTTTAGTCCCTTTTCATAACTATTGGAGATAAAATTGTCTCCAATCAACGAGAAAACGTGATTTTTAATCCGTCTGCTGCAGATACTTGGAATTAGCAATTAAGGGAAATTTTGTTTTGTCCCTTTAATATGAAAACTATTTGCAGTACTGCAAAGATCGCTTTGGGTACTGTTGCGTGCAGAGAATGATTCACGAAAGATTCATGGATGTTAAAAAGTTAGCTTTCAATTCAAAATATTAGGCAGTAAGCATATTTTGCATATCTTAATAATTACAGATTGAACAATGTACTTCATTTTTTTCATCATAATCATGAATCATTATTATTGAGTAAATAATGTAGCCTGCTATTCCTCTTAAAAATACATATTGTGGAAAATGGCTTGGCCAGGACAACTTTGAGTTTTGAGTTTTGAGTTTGAATGAATCACTTAGCACACTTTCGAAACAGGAACAAACAAGGTACGGGGCACTACTAGTAGATGATAATCACTAGAATTGGTGCTAAAGGTGACTAAAAGTAAAGCTGTGCGCAAAAAAAGGAAAAGCTGTTTGAGAATTAGTAAAATTAAAACTGCCCTCTGTTTACGTTTTCCAGCAGTTTCTTGTTGTTTATTCCCATCGCTGCCTTTGTAAAAGGGTCCATTTTTGCCATGGACTCATTTTTTTTCAGAGGTTGTTAACCACGGCATGTGAAAAACCGTTTTCTTTGTTCGCCAGTGCTTTTTTTTTTTTTTCGTGCGGGCAGTTTTCAAAAAACAAATAACAAAAAAACACTTGAAACTCTATTAATCAAAAATTGGCTTACTAGGCTTTATCTGAAGATTTTAACACTTATGTTTTGTGACCTTTCGCTGTATTTGTAAAGGACTCACAGTGTGTTAATTATAAAATGTTTGACCAGGGCAAATGATCCGGGCTTAAGCGAAGGCTTCTTAAAATCTGGCTTAACCATTCCTGTTAAGTATTGTGCATGTAATACATGCAAGATTTTGCAAAGGGAACAGGCAATAATAAAGTGAAATGACCTAAAGACATGGAAATGTTTTGAAGTCCCCTTAAGCACTATATTAAGCACTGCAAATCAAAAAACACTGATTTTCACTTCGCTGAACAGCAATGTCTCTAACTGAACTTTTTATATTTGGACAAAGTTTGGGCTCCTTAGGCGGCGATTCAGAAATTTTTCTTTTAACATACACAATAAAATGAAGACTATACCTACCTTATTTTCCAATAATCGTCCTTAAGCCACCGCTAATAAAGTTCTTAAGAACCGATCTCGAATAGATATCAAAGGTATAAAGCTGCACGGCGGATTGACTCTCTGTATCTATAATATACAGAACAAATTTTCCCTTTCTAATGATTACAAAAATTTGTTTGATGTAATGGGCTGAGGTTTTCATTGTAACATTTACGACTACAGCCAGGCTGAAAGTTTTCACTTTTTTAATACATATCATCACTGTCTCATTGTCTAAAAAAATGTTCAAAGGTCCTCAACGGGCTGACTAGATATATACTGAGACGTTTTCAGCTCCTCGATCTGTCTTCATTTAATTATAACGACAAACGATTCAGGAATATTCTATATGAATCATGTTTATTCTAAGAAATGAGATTGCTGAATCATCGCCGCGCAGAACGGATTTCAAAGGAGTCATCTCCAAGCGGATATTATAATTGCTCAGAATCATTATCATAAAGAGATCAAAGTGTCCGGTTACAAAATAAAACTTTAATCCCCTCTTTTGCTTTGTTTGTATGTTTTGCCCTAGGGTAAGTTATTGAACATAAATTGAAATCCCATTATAATTCCATTAACGAACCAACATTTTGGTAAAGCCATGTTTTATAAGCGCGCTTATAAAGACAATGGAAACCTGCCGAGAAAGCGTCGGACAAAACCACCACTCTTTTCATTACTAATGATATTTTCTGTCTTTTGAGCACAGTTTGAATACTTCAGTCCTTTATCTAAAGAGGCATGAGAAAAAATTGTTGTTTGTCTAACATATCTCAATTCAATTCTTAATTAAAAACACAGGCTCGCTTCTGTAAACGAAAACTAATCTCCCAAAGTTGAAAGACAGTCATCTAGGCAAATTTAACTTTCTCCTTTATCCAAGCACAATACCGTAATGCAATATATATTTTGAAATAACTCGACCTTTTGTCAAATGACAAAAGTACGTAAGTTAGGTGTGAATAGTCATATACCAGGAGGAAACTCTTTATAATACGCAAATTACCATCACCACTTCCGCAGTGCCAAGTATTATTGTTTGAAGATAATTAAATTATCTTTAAAGCGTGGTTCTTAACCGAAAGGTGTTATACGTACAACCTAAATTAGGTTACCGAAAGCAAATATATATATAGGAGGAGCATTTGGATCTTCAAGTTAGACGCTTTGGGAGTTGCTGAGAGTTTCTACATTTTCGGTCAAGCTTAAAGGTAAGTCCCCTTGGCTTTATCGGCTTCAAACCAACATCAAGACGGTTTTTTCAATGCATCATTCTAGTCAAAATAATATTAAATTTTTATTATAAAGAAAGTTCTCTAGCTTGCCAATTCAAGTACATATCGTATGGTCTTTTTTTAGAAAGGACAGACTTCTTTTTGTTATCGTGCTGCTGATTTTCTGACATTTTGAAGATATGCTTTTCGTGTCTTTTCAGAGGTTCATGATCTTTATTATATCACTTTTATTAGGAGTTTTGTTTCAAAGACTTTTCCATCGACTCAGAGGACAAATATTTGTTGAAGGATTTAAACATTCAGACTATTTTTAGTTTAGTAACGGAATAAGGTATGATGAACATGCCATTCGAGAGGATTAATGGCGCCACGAATTAGGTTATTATAATCAGTGAAAAACAAAAAGGTGAACTAGCTATGGGCGAGAAAGAATAGTGACCATGTGGTTTTTGCAGAAGACAGAATATTGTAAAGTAATCAAAGGGTTTTTTGAATAGGTCGTTGAATAGCGCTTTAAAAGCAAGCCAGAGGCTGTTGAGGTCGTTTGACTTTTCACTTGCTTTTAATTTTCAACATAGCCTCAAAATATTACATAAATGTATTTTGTAACGTTACGACTTGTCATTTCTTTATTGAATCCCCCAGAAAAGAATGGCTTGTCGGACCGCAAGATCGGAAACTTCTCTTGTCTTATTTTCTTATAGTTTTTTTAACATTTTTGACTCGAAACAAGACTTTGCCCGGTTTTCCTTCGATTCATTGTTTGAATTTAATAACATGAGATTTACAAAGCGGAGAAAAAAAATGGCTGAATAAAACACAATGCTTGGATTTCTGTTCTTTTAGGGTGAAACTTTTGTTCAAGAGCTAGGGATAGAAGGAAGTTACGCTTCAACATCTGCTGTAATTAATGTTTTTTCAGTTGTGTCCGATCTATTCGATGGGGCAGTTTCGACGACTCTTAGCTAATTTAGAAAAGAAATAGCAAGATTTGAAAAGATGACTGCAAAAAAAGTAAGACATTGCAACAAAGGAAGCCGCTGCATAACATGTTTGCTTAGTAACCGCGCTCAGAAGGTATACATGGTGTTCTAAATCTGATTAATATTGATATTGATATTTGATATCACCTTTGTTATCTAAAATCGCTTTTTGAGAGATTGGCCCTGTCATCGTTTGAGTGTATAAAAGTCAGAAACTTAAATATCTTGAATTCTGAAGACAAAAGTTTCAGCAATTGCAGTTGCCTTAATATTTAATTTCAGACTCCGTCATAAAAAAATAATAAAAACACAAGGAAACAATAGTGCCAGTACCTCGTTTATTAACCATTCGTAAATTTTGACTTTATTTTTATCTGTCGTCATTGGAATTTCGTTCTTCGATGGACAACGGTATTTCGGGTTTGGTCAGTGCGCTGCTGTTTAAAAGATTTTTCCAAAATGGACTCCAGTTTATGACATTTCATTTTTCTGAAATATAATTTCTGTTTCGGAGAATAAGTCTACAAAAATGTGAATCAAGTAGTTTGACCATGGATGGTGTCGACGGTTTAATCTATGGGAAGAGAAACGAAATGTTTTAACGATTTTTGCTGCTTCGGGGAAGAAAGTGACCTCTTTGACATTTTACGGTTATACTTCCGAGGAATACTGCACTTGATTTTTTAAAAAGAATTACATTAAGTCGCCATATGTTTTGAAGAATTCAAAGCCTCACAAGACAGACGATATTTGATTAACTTTTTCAGCCGTTTAAAAGCTGACTGTGACTGACGGATACTGAGGGCAGAACACGACTGGTGGGAAAAAAGTGCACAAAAAAACATTATTATTTGTTTAACTTGTAGATGGTAACCAAGACTCAACTCGCCTTTTTGCTCGTGTCATGCATCGTCATGTCGCTGTTAATCGAGCCAGCTGTTAGTCAAAAGGATGCTTTACGGTGGGGTAAACGAGACTACGACTCACCCGACGATTATATGCCGATTAATCCGAAGCACCGTCGAAGACAGTACGACAACGAGGAAGATTATCATAGTGAGTAGACAGGGTATTTAAAAAGCATAAGAGGAGCTGTGTCACGAAATTTGTCAATATTCAGATCAAACATTTGGGAACTGTCACTAAATTGAGGAAGACATAAAAATAACCACTTAAACCATTAATTTAAAGAACAAACAAGCAAACCATATACAAAAGATGGCACGGATAAAAATAATGGAAGAAGATTGTTAAGGGTTGCAATCATGATATTGTGGTTTTTGAAAACTTGTCAGCTTAACAGTTTTTTTTAGTTCATTTTTTTTACTGTTTGTAACGATGGAAGAAATATTTGTTTGGAGTCTGTGGTTATTCAGGTTTTTTTGCGAGTAATTTGTTCTCTAACGTCAAGTTCCATTGCGAATAAAGTCATGTAGTCTAGACCTCGAACTTTTGTTATATCGCTTTTCTGCAAGGTAAACACTTCAAAAAGAAAAAAAACTTTCCCGGCCCGAAATTAAAGAGCTGCCAGGGCTTGGAAAGAAAAAACCCCAGATTAGAGAGAAGTGCCCTATATACGCGATTTTCAAATTAAGTTCATGACTTTGGTTTAACACGAATAAATTCCTATCAAAGAAGAAGAATTTGCTTAAATTGTAAATTAATGTGACGATATTGAGGACAGGTAATTTATCGTTTCTTTATATGACGTGTTAATTAAAGCAAAACTTAATGATGTTAAATCTATTTATAAAAATTAAGTTAATAGTCTTTTGGAAATCCAATTTGGCGGATCTAAAATGACGCCTATTTGAAGTCATGACGTCATGTCACATGGCAGTTTCAGACGTACTGCTAAAATAAACCTCCACGGTTTTTTGTCATATGAATAGAAATTGTTTAGTATTTTGAGTACTTAACAGCCTCTTTACAAATTAAAGAGAATTTATCCTGATCAAAGGTTATACGCTCCGGCATCATCAGCTTGGCAACTACATCTCCTAAAAGACAGGGGCACCCAACAAGAATATAGTTCAAAACCACTTAAACATAGCATTGTTGAACGCATTCAGTAGTATTTAAACGTATAGGCACATTTTTATCCCCAAAAAATTTTTCATCTATTCCGATTTCCTAGCTGAAAGTCTAGTGATCCGAAAACTATAGGGATCAAAACTAAATACTTTTTCGAAAATTTCAGCCAGAGAAAAGGCTCCTGAAAATTCTAGGTGACCTTTTTAGGGTAAAAATCCGTTAAAAATGGGCAATTATACCATTTTTTAGATGTTAAAATCCTAGGAGAGGCAGGCAAACAAGAAATTTTACAACAAATGTTCCGAAAATTCTAGATCTCAAATCGTCTTCCGAACATATATTTTCCAAAAATTGACGTTGGGTGCCCCTGATGAAATGATCTGAAAAAGGTGGGGGGAAACATTTACATCATTCATTTATTACATTGACAAATTAATTATTGCTTATGTCTTTTTCTTTCAATTTACAGGAGATTTCGTAAGGAGAAGTGACCTGTCGGACCGTTTTCGACTTTAATAAGCCAATATTAGAATCATAGAATTTAGCGGAGCAAAATAATAATTGTTGTTGAATATTGAATTGCATACGTTAATACGTGCCGAATGTTGAAAATAGAAATAAAATAATTTCACTTATTTAGCTCAACTGAGTGTGTTAAACTGAGTTTATTGCGTTGTGGCCTTCACTGACAGTAAAACATCGACTTAATTTAGAAAACAACTAAATCATCGCCATTGACAAGTAATGCGAATCACTGCTTTATATCTGAGCAGTTGCAGATCGGATGTTACTAAAACAAGGAACAGGGAACGAGAAAATGAAAAATGTGAACAAAACTTAACTTGAACTCTAGCGGTATCATTAACTCTCTTAGACATTACCCATTCTCTCTCTTTTTTTCTTTTTTTTTTTTTGGCATTTTTATATTTTCCCATTCCCCGTGCTCGTTCCCGCTACCCGTTCCTCGTTTTAGTGTTGATAAGTGGCATTCTTGCAGATCACAGAAAAAGTGACTTCAAACATCTGTATGAACAATAAATACAAAAAGACTCACGATCGATATTTTTAAGTCTTCTGTCAGATTCCAAACCAGCTCCTTTTAATTGTGAGGTACCAACAGTGCTTTTACTTACCGTCTGAGCTTATTCTTAAACAAATCTGACCAGGAGAAGCTCACTTTAACTTCTATGAGGGCCATACCCTTGAGACAACTCTTTCCCGTATATCTCAGTTTCTATTCCTAGAACAACACTCTCTAGCGAAATGTTATTTCTGGGGATCGGAAGCGCCCAGATCAACAAAGGAAAATGCCGTTGTCCCAAAATTTTGACCTCTAGTCTATGCCTTTTAAGATGTAGGAAAACCTGGTTATCAGTTGAATGACATAATAAACATATAATCTGACTAAAATACAGGTGCGGATATATTATGAACCCCCGTTTTCGTACCTTAACGTACCTTCCGTCCCACAAGTCGTATCAGAAAACGTAACAGATCTACTGTATAACTAGTGTTTAGGCAACACCTTCAGCAAATAGTGATAGCTTGACATTGGGTTTTTGCCAGAGAACCAGCGCCTTGCATTTTTCAGGGTTCAAAATCATCTTGTTATTACTAAACCACTCACTCACCACCACGTTGTTATTGAGAAAATACGGAGTTTAAGCAGCGACGTTCTTGAACGACTTACGTCAACTGGAAGTGAGCCTGTTCCTCTTTTAATATACCCTCACGGTACCAAAATTGTATTGCTACGTAACTTTACTCTTATAGACAGGATTTGACCAAAAATTTGTTCAAATTGACGGCTCAAGAGTGCAAAAAGTCCACTTCCGGTTGACGTATCAGCAAAATACAGCTGATTATCATCGGCATAAATAGACAGCTTCGCCTCTTTGATGAAATAAAATAAGTCATTTATGAAGATCTTAAACAATAAGGGTCCTAAAACGGAGCCTTGGGGAACGCCGCTGTAAACATGAGATATCACTTGCAACGGATAATCCGTCTCTAGTGTGAAAACCGCCATTGTGTGCACGTGTCTACATGTGAATTCTCAAGCATATGATCACTGCTCAGCCCTCATTGTGCTATTTCCCGCGGGGTTGTATCATATGGCTAATATGAAAGTTTGGATTTTCCGGTCTGTCGTGGCCGACCCTCTGTAAGGTTAAAAAATATTCTTTTTGTGTGCCAAGAAATAAGACAACAAGAAATGCCGCTGAGGAATTTTCTCTAATATTCATACGTGGGAGAAGTGGTCGTTGTTGGCGGTACAAAGCAGGATAAACTCGAATATATAAATAAATAAACAACGATTTAGAGGAAGCACATCCACATAGTGGTTCTTCGTCTACTTTTCCTGATCGAATTGGAATTTGGAAATGTTGGTTTTTGAGGAGACGGGAAAACCGGAGTACCCGGAGAAAAACCTTTCGGTGCAAGGGAGAAAACCAACAATAAACTCTACCCACATATGGCGTCGACGCCGGGATTTGACCCTGGCCACATAGGTGCGAGGCGATAATACACAGATTGAAATAGAAGGAATTTCTCCTCATCTGTATTCGTTGCCTTTCGATGTAGTAGCGGTGGGCATTCATAATCATAACGAAAAGATGATAACACGAACTGAAATGGAATCCGTCTTGAAAGGAGTTAAGTGGTTAGCGAGGAAAACGTAGTTTCATCATAATTTGACTCTTAATTTTTTTCCAAAAAATTTCGTCAAATATGCAAGTTTCGTTTAAAGTTAGGTTACGCAGAAAAATTTATAATAATTTCCTAGGGTACGGTAGTAACTTTGTGCAAGCGTTGAGAAATCTTAAGATAAATTGTTGGAAAACCTCAGTTTTAAAAGAGACTCTTCTAAAATACCTATAGGCTAGTAGTTATTTCCACATGTACCCGTGAGTGTATTGTACACAAATTTCTCTTCCAAACCATCTAGCGATTTTAAGACTTGTCTGCCCATTTTAGTTAATTTAGGGGCAAATTAAATCCGACTAGTGTACGGAAGGTCGTGGGTTCAATTCCCATCTGGAACTTACAATTTTTTTTTTCTGTATTCTTCTCTCCACACATATCATTTCAATCATTTATTATTCATTGCTCATAAAGTATTTACACGACTGCGTGATGCAGTTAATATTGTGTGTTCACTTGACATAATGTGACTGCGCGATGCGGTAGTTATGTCAACCCACAAATGACCTGCTCAACACTGAGTTCCCAAAAGCTCAGTGTGGTTAGAGCATCCGACTAGCGTACGGAAGGTCGTGGGTTCAGTTCCCATCTGGAACCCAGAATTTTTTTCTGTGTTCCTCTCTCCACTCATATCTTTTCTTTTATTATAAGTTAACTCTAGCCAGGGTTTATTTCTTCTCTTGAAAAACGTCGCTTTGAACATAGACTACTACGGGTGTAAATAGGGCCAAAAGCAAAGTGACATTTATTTAAAAGATCTGATTTAATACCCTGGTGAGATAAGAGATGTCACTTTCTTAAAAAGCATCCATTAAGAAGTCGTTTTGTCTTCAAAGACTTATTAAGAAAGAGATTGGTTTGTTACTAAACTGTGATAGTTTATGCATTAAGAATTGCGGAAAATGTTTGTTACAAATAAAAAACCTAGTAAAAACGAACAGCAATAAAATTGTTTGACGTATTCACACCCCCTCTCTTTTTGCTTTTCTTTCCTTTTTTTTAACTCAAGTCAATTTTTATAACATGATTATTGTTGCCGTTGTTACTTTGATTGCGGTTAATTTTTTTAACTTATGAATTTCAAACAATCCTCTAAATGAGCCAGAATTCTGTCCTTTTATTCAAATTTTGTGTCTGTGTAATTAACAGTAGCGGAATAGAGAAAAATGAACACGAATCATGCTGACGGAAATTATTTTGACTAGCACATTAGCGAGAACAAACTTGCAATAAAAGGTTTCTTCCGTGTAATTGAATTGTTGATTGCTGCTAACACTGTTTACCCGGCCATCCACAGCTCAGCAGTTCTTCTAAAGAAGTGGCGGTTGAACCTTTGAAGATAGCTCATTAGGAGTGATTAATTTAATCCTCACTGATTATTCATGTACAAGTTCATAAAGAAAGAAGAGGAAGAATCGAGTTAATCACTTAATATACCTGTGAATAGCGTATTTCAGGAGAAAAGAGGATTTTTTGCGTCAAGAGCTAATATCTCACACTTCACTATCGTAGGTGGTATGCGCAATTTTATCTATTCAAATGATATTTAAAAGTAAATACTTTTGATGAACGCACTAACTGTCGAGAGTAAAAACGAACCAATATTTTGCAATCGATAATATTTCTAATTTCATTTACTCAAACAAAAACACAAGCAGCCCTGGCAAGTTATTTTTTCTTGACCTGACAAGCTATTTACTTGAAATTGACGCAAACGCTTACTCGTACCTTTTGGCCTGTTAAGAGATTAACCTCATATGAGGCAGGAAAACACCTTGATAAAGGGATATACACCAGACACTGTAGTCATCAGCGGTAAAAGGAACAATTGTATAACTTTAATTACCGCAATCATTACATGTTCTGCGCGCGGTTAATTAACAACGCCAACCGCACAGTGCTTTCCAAGCATTTGGTTCCATATAAAAGAGACGGGCATCGAACCGACAACAATTTGACAACTCTAAACAGGAAGAAACTGTTGTAGACAGCGTAAGACAAGTAAGGTCGTGATCACTCGTCAGGTACAATCAGTTTTGTTTTATTCTAAATTTCTGATTTACAAGAAGTGAAAGCATATTTACTTGTAACTGGAAGCAGGTTGTAATCTATGCGTTTACAATAAGCTGACACCTACTTGACTTTTAACTATATAAGGTTCGTACTGTTAGACAATCGATAGTTCTTAAAGAGGCAAAAGATCTGTTTCTCTATTCTGTTTATTCTTTACGCTCAGAAAGACTTTCATCTCTTTAGGTAAGCTAAAGGAATTCTTAACGAATATTGAAGAATCTTCAATAAGTTTGCGTTATTAAGGTTACAGCAAAATTCTAATTGGTTTCAGACTGAAATGTGCTGAAAGTAACCACAGTTACGGGGTTTTATTACGAGTGCAGCCGTAATTGTAGATATCATTGTCCTACTTTTGTAATGACGATTTTTTATATAAGTTTCATTAGATGGAAATTTTTAACTTTTAATTTTTACTTTATAATAATGTTATTTATGGAATTTTTTTATCAGACAATGCTATTATTATTTTTGTTAAATTGATGCGATGCAGAATTCCCTTTTATCAGTTAATAAAGTAGACGTAGACGTAGACGTAGAATACTTTAAACTAAGTAGAGGCGGTAACAAATCATAAAGAATTTATATTCCCACCTTACTGGTGAAAAATACTTTATTTTATTTTATTTTGTTCTATTTTGTTTTATTCTCTTCTATTTTTTCTACTCTATCATTGTTTCTATTTTTTTTTCTTTAGCGTTCGGCGTTCGGGAGTATCGTAAGACTTAGCCACGACGATTGTTCTTGACGAACTCGTAAAAAATTCTCTAATCATGATGAAAAGCGACAAAAATATAAAGAGCTGCTATATTGCGACAATCTATGTAAAAATAAAAGTTACCTTACAATAAATTTATTCATCATACATCAATTTTTTAAGATCTGCTT